CCACAACAGTAGGATACAAACATTTCAGTAATTCATGGTGACTTCAAAGACAACACTCAGTTCCCTTCTCACATACAGAACGATGGCTTGGGGATTTTAATTTTGTTTGTTTGTGTTTGTCAAGCTGTGGATTTATCTTGCACACAACCACAAGCACAGGAGTGTATGTTTTATATTACAACTTCTGTCAGAGCACTTGAGACGGAAGGCTTTTTTTATTTCCCCTATAATGAATCACCGTGTGTAGGGGGGTGGTTGGTTTATGTTTACACATTTTAAAATTAACCTAGCTAACCATTTGTTCTGTACTGCACATAATTTGTTGTTTCTCTTTTAGAAACCCCTTGAAAGACAACTTTGGAAAGAAAAATACATCTAGCAAGTCTGAATGACAGGATTTGACCAAGCACTTCAGACTAACTAGAACTCCACTTTGGACGATTTGCTTCCTCTTGCAGAGATACATCAAAAGAATAGGAAAAGAAAGCAGCATTAGGAGAAACACCTATCCAGAGGTAAATTGCACTGGGAGAAAAAAGGTTTTATCATGTCAGCTGTATCCAAATTTGAATGCAAATATTTATCAAGAACTGGAGGATTCAAAAGTACATTCCTGGTTTGCCTTGTTAATTCTTTGTTTTTCCATTTCCCAGCTTTCTAGCATGTGCAGCTCTGGTGTCTCCCAACCAGCCCACATTACCACAGCCTGCTCTGGCTGGTGGTGTTAGGTACTGTGGATGTCCCAGCCTAGTGGAGCCAAAGCCTTTGCTCATTTGTAAACCMCCATCCCTTTTACACAGAAATATGTTTTATTCAAGATATTTAGTTGGAGTAATAGCAGTATTTTAGAAGGCTAGAGAACAGTCTGCAAATTTCCACCTCCAAGCTCTTTCTTGCTCTAAGATAATGGTTTGCCCACAAGGGAGAAGGCTCCTGATGTCCCAGAGAGTTGTGTCAAGAGGAGCAGGAAGTTTAGCACCAAACCCCAGGGTTCATCTATGACAAGCTTCTGCCCAAAAAAGTCAGCTGAGAATAATTATTAGGCCTAATAGCTGTGGATATCCAAGCAGTCAAAACAAACTCTCAAAATGTGCATGATTACTCCTGATAACCAGGTTCATATTACACTTTTCAGAAAGAGAGAAATGGTGCTGTTGGGATTACAGACCCTTTYCAAAGCATCTTGGAACATAAATCACCTCAAGGTGATTACCCACCACATGCAATCAGTCACCATTGCTTATCAAAATGCTACCTAGGGAAATAAACTGGCTACTAATTAAATCAGAGTTTATATTGATACCAAGAAAGACAAGCACATATTTAGCTTTTTGTCTGGATGGAAACACATTCTGGCAAAGAAACTCCATGAAGATTGTATGCTTAGCTCATTTCTTTGGGATATGACTATACCACAAGAAGTCTACTGATTTTTTGTTGATTTATTACAGTCCATGAACCAACAACTAGCAACTGTTTTCCCCAAATGCTTGGCAAAAGCCAAAAACAACAGAAGAAAGGGTTTTGCAGGTCRAAGTGCCAAAATTTGTGCTAGCAGGTACAGGACTGTTTAAAAGTCAGGCTTAAAGGGAGAAAATCTCTAAGCAGGTATTTGTATCATGATCAGTGACCAAACCTTTGGGCATCAGTTGTCCTGTTTCTATTTTGTTTTATGTGGAATTCATGCATTGCTGTTTTCTATAACTATCACCTCTGCACTGGAATGACCCCAGATTTTGGCCTGACTTTCTTTTTCATTGTGACAGCCTATTATTTAGCTATTTAGTAGCTACCAGCAGATAAGAGATTAATTCTTCATTTATTTGACAGTCATTATTCCACGTTAAAAACCCAGAGATATTTGGTAATAAATAACTAATGATATTAAAATAAGGCAGAGCTCTCTAGTAATTGTCTGCATGGCACATGTATSCAATTCYTGATTTATCTGCTGATTTTCAGTCACTCTTTTTAACCCAATTAGAACAAAATAGCATTTAGACAGTATCTTAGATGAGCTGTTTACTGTTCTCCAATCCTTTTGTGTTGGTTTTGGCCAGCATTGAGGTCATTTTCTTCCCAGTACCTTGTACTGGACCATATTTTGGATTTGTGCCGAGACTAGAGTTGTTAACACAGGGACGTTTTCATTAYTGCTCAATAAGTGCTTACACAGARTCAAGGTCTCTTCTGCTCCTCACCCCCAATGAAGGGCTGGGGGACACAAGGAATTGGAGGGACACAGCTGACTCCAACTGACCCCGGGATATCCCAGGGCATCATGCTCAGCAGATGAAGTTGTGGGAAGACAGTAGGCCAAATAAGAATGAACGTGTCCTTTTCTGTAAATTTCTTTGCACAAYGATCTAGCTATTGACTCAAATAACAGCATCTTTCATGGCTTCCTTTAGGTGTCCAAATTTTAGTGAGAACTAACACACTGCCAAAGACTTTTACAAATTGAGTGCCTTTGGAGTTCACCAGCTCTGTAGCTGCTTTTGGCCTTTGTTAAGCTGAACAAAGCTGAAAGCTGTCTCTTTCCATTTGCACTCCAAATTTGAGCTGTGTGGCTGTGCACCTATTTTATTACACAGTGACATGATGCATGAGGCATTGGACACTCAAAATTTGAAGAAAGGCAGTCTCTGAAGAGAGTCTGCTATTCCTTTTGAATGCTACTGTTTCTCACCTAATTCAGGATTTCTGGTGCTGCCACATTAAGGAGTTTGCTGTACAGTTCTCTGATGTGCACAGTCTGGGTCAACTTGCTCCTTCCAGCCCTGTGTTCTCATGTCAACTTGGATGTGAGCACTTCTCTACTCACAGTAGTTTTACTACTGCTTTTATTTGTGCCAGCAAAGAGTTTTGGTATTTCAGCTCCCTGCTCTCCTTCCCAAAGGAAAAAATWATGTTGAGATAAAGGACAACATTTTACTCCTCAAATAAATCCCAGACAAGATCAGGAAAAGTTTAGGAAAAAATGCCTCCATGAAGAAAAAAAGCTGCATCAGCTCTTCTCTGACCCTTTTAGCATGTCAGGAGTTCACCTTGTTCAATGTGGCACATCTTCCCAATTAGAGATGAGGCCTCCAACACGGACACCAAAGCGGGAGGGATAACATGGAAAGTTGGACYATTCTTAGGCTGCTGCAGCCACTGAGTTGAGAACATCCTTACAATAGCTTCAACATTTACTATCACCTCTTGGAGCCAGTAACAGGAGCTGGGCATAAGATCTCTGGAATAATAGCTAAGTCTTCTGGTGGAGCTGAGGATCACAGGAAACCAGGACAGGGGATTTTTCTAAACATTAGGGTGGTTTTTGTCAAGATGGTCTTTGGGGTCCAGAGTTAATACTGATGCAAATCCAGGATGTCTTAGCACAGGTCTGACTATTCTAATCTTGTCTCTCTTATGGCTTCCAAAACATTGGGGTTTGGATTCCAAACATAATCCAGCTTTATAAGCGTTATTATCCCTTTCTTTGGCTAACAATGTTACTGTCGCTCTGAGCTGCCATGTACAAATGACCATATATACTAATCCCTGAACTACTTCAGTCAGTAAGCTCCAAATCCTTAAAATGAAATTCAACTCTGAAAACATCAGTCCAGTTCCAGTGTTCCCCTACTTCCAGCTGTGGGACTCTGTCCATTGATCTGGGAGATCAGTGAGAACCTGAGCATGAATATATGTCCATAACATAAGAAGTGTTTATAAGAAAGTTCTGTCTAAAATTCTTCTCTCTTTGAGCTCTGATCGCAGCTGCTTTTGCAGAATGTTATAAGAGACATTTAAGGAAAAAAAAATAAAGAGAATACCAAAAAAAGTCTTTTTATTTTAGATGAGAGATGTTCTTGCTCTGGAAAGGGTGCTTCCTAGCCAAGGATAAACCAGAACAATTTATTGAGTTCCACATTTGGCCACATGCATTTTGCTCTAGAAATGTAGCCAGCAACTAATCCTGGTGAAAACCAGACTGACATGTGAGTGCCACTGCCTGCTATAAGTGGAAACTCTCTTTTATTAGAAACTGCAGAGCATGTGGGTGGGCAGGAGGGAGCAGGGTGGAGAGGTTTAGTCCCTGGTTGTCATTCTTCAGGCGTGACCACAGTGCTGCAATCTCTGGAACGCAGCTGGACAGAAAGGATGAGGAATAACCCTGCCTCCCTTGGGGAAATCAGTCTGATGATGCCAGGAGCTATGATTTGTCTCCCCMGGAATGCTGCCACCTGCAGCAATTAAACCTCCTCTATAATGYTATTTAAACAGGAGGATATTTTCCCCCAGAAATTGCCAGATCATTGTTTCCTCCCAATGTCTCTGACAGACAAGGAAATGAATGCAGTGAGGAGTCATCAGAATGGGGTCTACTGCATCTGTCCTGGGAGGAGGAGAGGGATGCAGAGCTTGGCAAAATTAAGTGAGCCTGACAACTCCATCACCAGTTCCCCAGACAAATCCATTGACAAGTGTTAAAGGAGCTGAAACTGTCTGATCTCCATGTCATCATCCTCCCTATCTGCCTTGGTGGACAGCAACCAAAGTGCCTCTGTAAAACACTGCTGAATGCATTTTGTTATTCCACATACAATAAGCAGACTTCCCAACRAACTCCAATGGCTTCAGTTACATATCAGAAGACAAGAGACAGCCATGGATTCCTTTTCACAAGACTTTTGTAAAGCCTTTTAAAGCTCCTTTAGGATCTCCCTCAAAACAAAGCCCTTATGTCAACAGAAACTCTTGCTCAGATATGCTTCATCTGTTACTTTATATGAATATGCACGATCAAAGGGTGACAGCTTTCACAGTTAAGCAAACACAGTTACACAGAGCACACTTCTTCCACAAAAGGTCAGATAATACAAAATGCTAAATGTTAAATACGCATGAGAGGAATACATTCCCCTTGAGCACACTGGGACGGGGAGTTAAATTTAAGAATGTAYTGCCATACTTTCAGGACACCCTGCAAAGTGCCTTTGCAAAGATCTTACCTGTTCAGTGATGAAGGAGCTTGAAAAAGTGACAGCTGACCAAAAGAAGATCCCACAGCTGAGAATGATCTTTCTGTTGAACCGGTCACCAAGGTAACCAAAGATCGGTGCTGCGACCATGAAACTACAGATGAAAACTGCAAAGGAGAGAAAAAGGAAAGAAACGTTTAATAAACATCAGACCAAGAACATGAAAACTAATTTTCTGCAAGCCAAATCCTCYAGAGAGCAGTTCCATTTAATTAGACATTCTGCAGCCCTGCCTTACAGAGTGGTGCAGGCCGACAGGCTTTCTGAAGTCAGTATTTCCTTAATCAAACACATCTTTCATTCCCAGAAAAACTTCAGACCAGTGAACTCATTACTTGAAAGCACCAGTCCCTCATAGTCAGCTGAGCTCAGATCTGGGGATAGGCAAAACCAGGACAGAATAAATTGAGAGCTTCTGCTTAAATGTTACTGAGAAGGTGAAGTAGAGGCTGGAAGGAGTTTCAAGCAAACAGAAAACAAGGCCAGGGCCTTGCTGGCTCTTGCAGCAGAGACTTGAGAGAAATGGGCCACAGAAGCTGAGGTTCTTTCAACCTTCTTAGCATCCTTCCCATTTTAAAGAAATTATGAAACAGTGAGAAAAACTGGTAAACACCACTAYCATCCTACAGACACCAGCCCTGTCTCCTCGCTAGGTCCTTTCACCATCACTGAACTTCTATTTAAATGCATCATTGAGCAACAGCTTCACTAGAACAAAGAGTTTTAACCTACAAAGTCCAAACTGGACTGGGTTGTCCTCATCTGAAAGATTGCAAGTTCACTCTTTGTTCCCTCCAAAACCCAGCATTAACCCAGCTTCTGTCAAGCAGGAATGAGGCTGTTGAGAGAATAACCTCTGCAAAATTGCCTCGATTCTGAGTAGATTCCTCCAGCCCAGCTCAAAGCAATCTGGCTGGGCTCACCCCTGAGAACACCTGAAATGGGGCAATCACACCATATTCCTGATTGATTTGGACCTCTGCAGAAATTACCAGGTTTTAAGCTGATTAATACCTGGCTTTTGTTTGTCCACATTAGAGATTTGGATAAGGGCAATTACATGGATTTTATTGGTGTGTAGCATGAACTCTGACTTTCACTGGCTGTCTTCTAAATTCATCAAATCCAGAAGGATTTGGGTGGGACACCGGAATAAGTGGAGACCTCTCTTTAGTCACACAATTCTGACTTTCATTTGTTATCTGGTAGGTCTTGGAGGGCACTGTGGGCTTTTGGCATAACCTAACCCCAGCTGTCTATTTTAATTGCATAAAATGGGGTGGGGGGATAGAATAGGTAAAAAAATAATATAAGAGCAGAGGACACCCCTACCCTCTTTGATTGGAATGTGCATATAAAATTAAACTGGTAAAGACCCAAAACATTAATTTTTTATGGATGATGATATACGATAGTTCAAWAATGTGCAGAATGCTGAACTATGACTAAATGTCTCGTCTTTTTTTAGTATAATAAGATGTCAAAGCTGCTTTATAAATAATACATATCCATTTGCATCTATGTTTTGTGAGCCATATGAGTGTGTATGTATTTTGCCCTGTGATATTTGGTTTAAATTCAGATTTACTCTTTTCACATTTAGAGTAAAATAAATRGAGATAATAGAGAAATGTTAGGACCTGAAAAGCAGCACATGCAACATTATATCACACATACTTCGACAGTAATGCTATGAACAGTTTTGCTGTTTAGCTCACCCATAAACCCTATTGATAGAAYTTAGTCCCTGCATCAATCCCAAAATCCTTGTGCAAACAAAACCTGTTGAATAAAACTATGAGCAGTGTTTTCATCTCTGTTTTACAGAGAAACTAAACCAGGAGTGGCTCACAAATCTCTGCTGGGCAAGGGCACATCTGCACTGGCCCCACTCCAAYAAGGCACTTAAGCACATGCTTATATTAGGCACTTTAGAGTCATCAATTCCATGATTAAGTGCTTTCCTGAATTAACACCAAGGGCTTGGCACATTGCAAAGCTGGTACAGCAACCTGGCACGAAGGATGTGTGGCTTCATGTTCATTGCGAATGAGAAGCAGAAAATGACTGTGACTCGTCCAGAGCAGTGAGCCCACTGCAGTTTGATCCTTCCCTTGGAAGGACACATTCATTCATCTCAGAATCCCATATTCTGCCATTTTTATGATGTAAAAAGACACAAAACTGAAAAACTTTCCAAGGGAAAATTAGAAACATCAAAGTCAGCATCCCACCATTTCAAATATCAAATAACATGGTTAATTCAACTTTGAGACATGCAGGGTGTGATCCAAAATTCACTTTAATCAGTGGGATTATTAGCTTCAATGACCTCTGGATCATAAATGAAAAGTCTAATTCTGGAATTTGGGCAAAATGCACAAAGCTCCTCTTTCAAATTAAACAAACTAACAGAAAGATCGTCCAATGACTTTCCAACAATATAGATCCTGCTGCTACTCAAATCCCTTTGGAGGATTTATTTTTGGAAGACTGAGCTGTGAGCTTTGTCAGTGGTAAGCAGCTGACTTGACAGCTCCACAAGGTGCAAAACAAAAGGACAACGGAGCCGAATAAATAACAGGTAATGGAACACAGCTGTCACAAGAATAAATGCAATTTATATTGGAGTATTTATGACCCAAATATGCATCAGAGCATTGATTGACTCAAATAAATGCAGAGTATGATGGCTATGTGGTCTGTCAAAAGGATTTGCCTGTTACAGGCATTCCCATGAATCAATTTTTGCAATTACTCCTGCCAGTGACASCCGACACTCCTGAGCCCCAGCCTTGGCTGGCAGAACAGAGGTGAATAAAAGTAGGGCACATTGACAGGTGGGATGAAAACCTGAGTTACCCTCGACCAGGAGCTGAGGCTCTGTAACAACTAAACACCACGAAGGAGGGACCTCCACAAGACACAAAACTGAAGCACATTCAGTTGGAGAGAGGGGCAACAGAAACATGGTAATTTGCAGGAAAGWGGGCTGAGCATGGGGCAAAGGATTGCATTCCAGTAAAGGAGCCTGCTACCTGTGCCAGATTCTTCCTTTCTGGCTTCTCTTCCCTCTTTCACAGCATTTTCTGCTCCTTGCACTCACCCACTCCCAAATTAATAAAACTGAAGTGACACCACAGCATCTGCTGCTTCAGCTCAACCACATCCACAAATCTTTTCTATTAGGGCAGCAGTGGGACGTAGGCTGGCATTGCACTTTCCTCTTCCCAATCAACAGCTSCTCTTCCCATTTTCACTTAGAGACATCTCAGAATATTACTCTCTCTTGCAGAGTTGTAGAGTGCAAGCCAGGGCAGAGTTAGAAACCCACTGGGATTTCAGATGAGCTACTGTGAAGGCAGTGATGGCATCCGGAGCAGCTGTGGGCAGGTATAGCTCTAGCAGTCCCATTATGGATGTGCACAGCTAATTCCTCTGGGTAAAAGGATCTCCAGCAGTGCCAGCAAATGTGGCTCAGTCCCATYGCCGGGTGGAGCTGAGATACATTTCTGCAGGAGCAAATTATTATGTGAGTGAAGGATGAATAAACAGACACATAATGAATGGCATCAAGGAGGGAGGTTCTTTTAAGTACAGGTATTTTTGAAAGGAGAATCCATTTGTCTTTATTCCTCCCTTTGTGACTTAGCAGCTAAGTGCCGACTGTGGTGAGAAGGCAGGAAGATGTAATTGCCCAAACAGGATGGCTCAGTGTCTATTTCTGCCTCTGGATGCCTGTCCCACCCTGTACAGGTGCATGAGCACCTCCTCAGCTTTTTCTGTGCATGGCTGGAATTGCAACAATGTGCAGCATAAAAATAAAAAGTCTTACATGTCCCACCCAAACGCCCACCAGAGAAGGAAATCATCCACCCTGGCCTCTGTTGCTGCTGGATGTACTGCAGCTTCAGTCCTATTTCAGGATTATGGTCAGGGAGCTGCTACTCAGACCAAACCTTCCCCTCTCACGAGCTGCCTGTGTACCCAGGAGAAAAATAAGTCCCTCAACAGTGGAAGCAAAGGAGATGACAGGAGAGGAAGGAACTGTAGATTTTATACTTTATTCAATCATTAGTTATTAAAAGCTCCTGCCCACTGGAACTAAGCACCATCACTTCTATTTTTCTCTTCTTTCTCTCCAAACAAAAATTTACCAGCTTGACTCTACAATTGTTCCCTGAAAAGGCTCTGACCCACCAGATGTCTACCCTGTGTTCCAAAGACACTGTTGTCTCCGTCTCATTCTCTCTTTAGTGGACTTTTCCATAGTGGACTTATCARCTCAAAGATAACCCTCTCTTAAGTACCTCAGAATGGGGCTTCTCCTGCCAGCAGGTCATCCACAGAGTGGAATCAAGAAGGAATAGAGGCAGTGACAGAGGCACACACAGAGGCTGCCATTTCTCAGTTCCTGGAAGGCTGAGAGGATCACAGGCACATCCAAAAAACGGTCCCTTCTTTTGGTTTTGACTTCAAGCAGACAGGGCTTCTTTTTTTTTCCCATCAGAAATTATGCTAGAAAGGTTCAGATTCAGGTAAAAATAGCTTTCTCTACACAAGGATGCTCAATAAAAAAACAAAACTAGTGGGTATCTTTGAACTCTGAAACAGCACAAACCATGTGTACACATCTACTTGAGTGCTGATAGTGAGCTTGGCTCTGTGGGAAGCAAACCCAGACAGACTCTGCATCCAGGGACTGCCATCTACTAAGACACAGCTGAGAACTATGTGCTTGAAGGTTGCTAACATCTTCCCAACAACAAATTTCCAAACAATGAAACACCTGAACAGGCAGCTCGCCCTGGATGGGGTAATTTATGGGTGTGGTGTACAAGCACAACTCTGGGATTTAGTCAAGTTACTACTATCCCAGGGACTTTCAGTCATGACTGCATGTGTTTCTCAAGCTGCTTGTGGTACCAGGTACCATCTACTTGTAATGGTCAATAAAGACTCTCCAACAGCCCAACTAGCTCCTCTGTTCCAAAGACATGTTTTTTGCAATGCTTCAGTCTTTTAATTTTCATTTTCTCTACAGTTTCATGCTATACTAATACTACTCGGCACATGAAACACAACACATTTAATCACAGTGAGGCAT